GTGTATGCCCCAGCCCGTGTGTGTATGTCCCAGCCTGTATGTATATGCGCCAGCCCTGTGTGTGTCTGTCCCAGCCCGCATGTGTATTTCCCAGCCCGCATGTGTATGTCCCAGCCCGTGTGTGTATGCCCCAGCCAGTGTGTGTATGCCCCAGCCCGTGTGTGTATGTCCCAGCCCCTGTGTGTATGCCCCAGCCCGTGTGTGTATGTCCCAGCCCCTGTGTGTGTGCCCCAGCCCGCGTGTGCGTGCCCCAGCCCGTGCGTGTATGCCCCAGCCCCTGTGTGTATGCCCCAGCCCTGTGTGTGCATGTCCCAGCCCGCGTGTGTATGTCCCAGCCTGTGTGTATATGCGCCAGCCCTGTGTGTGTCTGTCCCAGCCCGCATGTGTATGCCCCAGCCCGTGTGTGTATGTCCCAGCCCGTGTATGTCCCAGCCCGTGTGTGTATGCCCCAGCCCGTGTGTGTATGCCCCAGCCCGTGTGTATATGCGCCAGCCCTGTGTGTGTCTGTCCCAGCCCGCATGTGTATTTCCCAGCCCGCATGTGTATGTCCCAGCCCGTGTGTGTATGCCCCAGCCAGTGTGTGTATGCCCCAGCCCGTGTGTGTATGTCCCAGCCCCTGTGTGTATGCCCCAGCCCGTGTGTGTATGTCCCAGCCCCTGTGTGTGTGCCCCAGCCCGCGTGTGCGTGCCCCAGCCCGTGCGTGTATGTCCCAGCCCCTGTGTGTATGCCCCAGCCCTGTTTGTGCATGTCCCAGCCCGCGTGTGTATGTCCCAGCCTGTGTGTATATGCACCAGCCCTGTGTGTGTCTGTCCCAGCCCGCATGTGTATGCCCCAGCCCGTGTGTGTATGTCCCAGCCTGTGTGTATATGCGCCAGCCCTGTGTGTGTCTGTCCCAGCCCGCATGTGTATGCCCCAGCCCGTGTGTGTATGTCCCAGCCCGTGTATGTCCCAGCCCGTGTGTGTATGCCCCAGCCCGTGTGTGTATGCCCCAGCCCGTGTGTATATGCGCCAGCCCGCATGTGTATGTCCCAGCCCGCATGTCTATGTCCCAGCCCGTGTGTATGCCCCAGCCAGTGTGTGTATGTCCCAGCCCTGTGTGTATGTCCCAGCCCGCGTGTGTATGCGCCAGCCCGTGTGTGTATGTCCCAGCCCGCGCGTGCATGCCCCAGCCCGTGTGTGTATGTCCCAGCCCGCGTGTGTATGCCCCATCCCTGTGTGTGTATGCCCCAGCCCGCGTGTGTATGTGCCAGCCCGTGTGTGTATGTCCCAGCCCCTGTGTGTATGCCCCAGCCCCTGTGTGTATGTCCCAGCCCCTGTGTGTATGCCCCAGCCCGCGTGTGCGTGCCCCAGCCCGTGCGTGTATGCGCCAGCCCGTGTGTGCGTGCGTGCGTGCCAGTGCCGGCCGCACCAGGTAGAACTGCAGCGGGTTGGGCCAGATGTCGTCCTTGATGACCTCCCCGAGCTCGTCAGCGCCGGCGTCCGAGTGGTCGGTGAACCAGGTGAAAAAGCTCTCCGGCTCCTCGTGCTGCCGCTTGCGCCCGCCCTTGCCCTTGGCGCCGACGCCGCTGCGCTTCGTCAGGTCCTGTGGGCGAGCGAGCGACGGGAGGAGACGAGAGATGGGTGAAGGGAGAGAGAGAGATGGGTCCACACACGTATCTCCGCGTGATTCTCGACACAACGCTGTACCCGTGTGGGTTCTCTTTGCATATTCTTAGGTTTTTTCGGTAAAGTCACGTAGGTAAAAAAATTACAATTAATAAAAGTAAAATAAAAATCACGACGTTTCGGAGGCAACACAAGCTTCCGTCTTCAGGTGGAACCGTCACAGCACGATTGCCGTTTCTGTAACTTACGTCTCTCCGTGTGACCTCTATGGGTGTCACCACGTGACCTCTGGGTGTCACCACGTGACCTCTGGGTTTCACCACGTGACCTCTATGGGTGTCTCACCACGTGACCTCTATGGGGGTCTCACTGCGTGACCTCTATGGGTCTCACCACGTGACCTCTATGGGTGTCACCGCGTGACCTCTATGGGGGTCTCACCACGTGACCTCTATGGGGGTCTCACCACGTGACCTCTATGGGTGTCACCGCGTGACCTCTATGGGGGTCTCACCGCGTGACCTCTATGGGGGTCTCACCACGTGACCTCTATGGGGGTCTCACCGCGTGACCTCTATGGGGGTCTCACCACGTGACCTCTATGGGGGTCTCACCGCGTGACCTCTATGGGGGTCTCACCGCGTGACCTCTATGGGGGTCTCACCGCGTGACCTCTATGGGGGTCTCACCGCGTGACCTCTATGGGTGTCACCGCGTGACCTCTATGGGGGTCTCACCACGTGACCTCTATGGGGGTCTCACCGCGTGACCTCTATGGGGGTCTCACCGCGTGACCTCTATGGGTCTCACCACGTGACCTCTATGGGGGTCTCACCGCGTGACCTCTATGGGGGTCTCACCGCGTGACCTCTATGGGGGTCTCACCGCGTGACCTCTATGGGGGTCTCACCGCGTGACCTCTATGGGGGTCTCACCACGTGACCTCTATGGGGGTCTCACCGCGTGACCTCTATGGGGGTCTCACCGCGTGACCTCTATGGGTGTCACCGCGTGACCTCTATGGGGGTCTCACCACGTGACCTCTATGGGGGTCTCACCGCGTGACCTCTATGGGGGTCTCACCGCGTGACCTCTATGGGGGTCTCACCACGTGACCTCTATGGGGGTCTCACCGCGTGACCTCTATGGGGGTCTCACCGCGTGACCTCTATGGGTGTCACCGCGTGACCTCTATGGGGGTTTCACCACGTGACCTCTATGGGGGTCTCACCACGTGACCTCTATGGGGGTCTCACCACGTGACCTCTATGGGGGTCTCACCACGTGACCTCTATGGGGGTCTCACCGCGTGACCTCTATGGGGGTCTCACCGCGTGACCTCTATGGGTGTCACCGCGTGACCTCTATGGGGGTCTCACCACGTGACCTCTATGGGGGTCTCACCACGTGACCTCTATGGGGGTCTCACCACGTGACCTCTATGGGGGTCTCACCACGTGACCTCTATGGGGGTCTCACCACGTGACCTCTATGGGGGTCTCACCGCGTGACCTCTATGGGTCTCCTCTACTGGCCGAGCCAGTGGGGGGGGGGGGGGCGGGGTGACACGTGCCCCCCCCCCCAATGATCAGATCAAAATCCCTAATTTCGATCGGATCATTGGGGTTTATTAGTAATAAATCGGCATTTTGCGACCCCCGCTGCCACTGTGTAGCATATCATTACGTGCCAGGGACTCTACGAGATGATAGGACAATAGTGCGAGTCCATAGTTGGCGATAAGTAACGGCAAAGCAGTTATAAGCTACTCGCAAAATTGTGCTCTTTTTCAGAAGCGACCCGGCCACCACGAATGGCAGCAGCTCAACAGAACGGCTCATCATCAACGTCGCGTGGTAATCCACAGCAAGCAGCAGCCAAAAACACTAAACACGCGACATCGAGTCTAAACGTTGGAGGGGGGGAAACGGTGAACCCCGGAGACAAATCCACGCTACCACGGGGAGAGACGTGCAACATCTAAATGTAAAGAAGTCGGGGTCTGGATCGAACCCACAATCTCCTGTTTCCAAAGGCGAGGTAGTCAACATCTTGCCAAAGTGGTATAACTAACCACACAGGCAACATACACACAGGCTACACACACACACAGGCAAGGATGCACGCACGCACACAGGTCACACACACAGGCTACACACACACACACAGGTCACACGCACACACAGGCAACACGCACGTGCAGGCCTTCACAGACTGTTGGGGCAAGTGTTGTTAGCGAGTACTTATGAAGGCCGGCACGGCACACGAGGGGGTGGGTGGCCAGCACCACACCCGGTCGCCTTTGTCTCCCCAGTGACGATGTTTACTACACACCGCTACACCAGGTACTCATTTCAGGCTGAGTCGACCTAGGGGAGGCCCAAGACCGGTTTGGATAATCGTCACTGGTGTTGGCCGTGAGCGGGAATCGAACTCGGGGTGTCGGGTTCGTAGCGCAGCGTGGCGTTTAATCGTTACACTACCGCTCCCCACACACACACAGGGTATACACACACACTACACACACAGGCTACACACACACACACTACACACACCACACACAGGCTACACACACACACACCACACACAGGCTACACACACACTACACAGGCTACACACACACACCACACACACACAGGCTACACACACACACCACACACACACAGGCTACACACACACACCACACACACAGGCTACACACACACACCACACACAGGCTACACACACACACACACCACACAGGCTACACACACACACACACCACACAGGCTACACACACACAGGCTACACCACACAGGCTACACACACACAGGCTACACCACACAGGCTACACACACACACACACCACACAGGCTACACACACACACACAGGCTACACACACACACACAGGCTACACACACTACACACACACACCACACACACACACACCACACAGGCTACACACACACAGGCTACACCACACAGGCTACACACACACACACAGGCTACACACACACACACAGGCTACACACACTACACACACACACCACACACACACACACTACACACAGGCTACACAAACACCGGCTACACACACCACACACACACACCGGCTACACACCTTGCCAGGCTTCCACTTGATTTCCGTGGACTTGGAGGAGGGGTCGCCCCGCTCGTTGAGGTGGAACTCCTTGGAGATTACTTTGTTCTCAAAGTAGGGGTTCTCTTCAAAGTGCTGCACACACCACCACCACCACCACCACCACCACACACCACCACCACCACCACCGCACACACCACCACCACCGCACACACCACCACCACCACCACCACCACCACCGCACACACCACCACCACCACCAACGCACACACCACCACCACCGCCACCACCAACGCACACACCACCACCACCGCCACCACCACCACCGCACACCACCACCACCACCACCACCACCACCACCACCACCGCACACACCACCACCACCACCACCACCCGCACACACCACCGCACACCACCACCACCACCACACACCACCACCACCGCACACCACCACCCGCACACCACCACCACCGCACACCACCACCACCACCACCACCACCGCACACCACCACCACCACCACCACCACCACCACCACCACCGCACACACCACCACCACCGCACACACCACCACCACCACCCGCCACCACCACCACCACCGCACACACCACCACCACCACCACCACCACCACCACCGCACACACCACCACCACCGGCACACACCACCACCACCACACACTCACACACACACCACCACCACCACCACCAACGCACACACCACCACCACCACCACCACCACCACCACACACCACCACCACCACCACCACCACCACACACACCACCACCACCACCACCACCACCACCACCACCACCAACGCACACACCACCACCACCACCACCACCACCACCACCACCACCGCACACACCACCACCACCACCACCACACACACCACCACCACCGCACACACCACCACCACCACCACCACCACCACACACACACCACCACCACCGCACACACCACCACCACCACACACCACCACACGCACACACCACCACCACCGCACACACCACCACCACGCACACACCACCACCACACCACCACCACCGCACACACCACCACCACACACCACCACCACCGCACACACCACCACCTACCACCACCACCTCACCACAACCACCACCACCGCACACACCAACCACCACCACCACCCGCACACACCACCACCACCACCACCGCACACACCACCACCACCACCACCACCGTACCACACACCGACCACCACACCACCACCACCATCACCACCACCACACACCACCACACCACCACCGCACACACAACCACCACCACCAACCACCACCGCACACACCACCACCACCTCACACACCCACCACCACCACCACCGCACACACCACCACCACCACCACCTCACCACCACCACCACCACCACCACCACCACACACCACCACCACCACACCACCACCACACACCACCACCACCACACACCGCACACCACCACCACCACACACCACCACACCACCACCACCGCACACACCACCACCACCGCACACACCACCACCACCAGCACACACCACCACCACCACCACCACACACACCACCACACACCACCACCACCACCACACCACCACCGCACACACCACCACCACCACCACCACCACCACCACCACCACCACCGCACACACCACCACCACGCACACCACCGCACACAACCACCCACCACACACACCACCACCACCGCACACACACCACCACCACCACCACACACACCACCACCAGACCGCACACACCACCCAACCACCGCACACACCACCACCACCACACACACCCACCACCACCGCACACAACCACCACACCACCACCACACACACCACCACCACCAGCACACCACCACCACCACCGCACACACCACCACCACCACCACCACACACACCACCACCACCGCACACACCACCACACCACCACCACACACACCACCACCAACTCACACCACCACCACCACCACCACCACACACACCACCACCACCGCACACACCACCACACCACCACCACACACACCACCACCACCACCGCCGCACACATCACCACCGCACACACCACCACCACCGCACACAACACCACCACACACAACCACCACCACCGCACACACCACCACGCGTGAAACGTTAGGGCTGAAGTGGAGAGAGGGGGGGAGGCATGTTAGTGTAGTGTGTATAGTGTGTGAATGGTATAGTGATTGAGTGTATAGTGATTGCGTGTATAGTGAGTGATTGTATAGTGATTGAGTGTATAGTGATTGCGTGTATAGTGATTGCGTGTATAGTGAATGAGTGTATAGTGATTGCGTGTACAGTGTATAGTGATTGAGTGTATAGTGAATGAGTGTATCGTGTATAGTGATTGAGTGTATAGTGTATAGTGAATGAATGTATCGTGTATAGTGATTGAGTGTATTGAGTGTATAGTGTAGTGAATGTGTAGCGAGTGAATGTATAGCGTATAGTGAGTGTATAGTGATTGCGTGTACAGTGATTGAGTGTATAGTGTATAGTGAATGAGTGTATCGTGTATAGTGATTGAATGTATCGTGTATAGTGATTGAGTGTATTCAGAGTGTATAGTGTAGTGAATGTATAGTGAGTGAATGTGTAGCGTATAGTGAGTGTATAGCGTATAGCGAGTGTACAGTGAGTGTACAGTCAAGTGTACAGTTTAGCGAGTGTAAAGCGAGTGTGTGTGCCGAGTGAGCGCCACGTACAAAATCTATTCTGTATCCGGACTTGATGTCCTCGAACTCCGTGACCTCGACCCGGATGAGGAAGTGCAGCGCCTCCTCATCCTCCTCGTCCAGCAGGGCTGAGACTGGGGGGGGGGGGGGGGGGGGGGGGGGGGGGGGGGGGGGGGAGCAGTCATTGTTACAGAGACCCCCAACACTCGCTCGCCAAAGGCGACGCTCGCTCACCAAGGGCGACGCTCGCCCACCAACGGCGACACTCGCTATCGCTCACCAAGGGCGACGCTCGCCCACCAACGGCAACACTCGCTATCGCTCACCAAGGGCGACGCTCGCTCACCAACGGCAACACTCGCTATCGCTCACCAAGGGCGACGCTCGCTCACCAAGGGCGACGCTCGCTCACCAAGGGCGACGCTCGCTCACCAAGGGCGACGCTCGCTCACCAAGGGCGACGCTCGCTCACCAAGGGCGACGCTCGCTCACCAAGGGCGACGCTCGCTCACCAAGGGCGACGCTCGCTCACCAAGGGCGACGCTCGCTCACCAAGGGCGACGCTCGCTCACCAAGGGCGACGCTCGCTCACCAAGGGCGACGCTCGCTCACCAAGGGCGACGCTCGCTCACCAAGGGCGACGCTCGCTCACCAAGGGCGACGCTCGCTCACCAAGGGCGACGCACGCTCACCAAGGGCGACGCTCGCTCACCAAGGGCGACGCTCGCTCACCAAGGGCGACGCTCGCTCACCAAGGGCGACGCTCGCTCACCAAGGGCGACGCTCGCTCACCAAGGGCGACGCTCGCTCACCAAGGGCGACGCTCGCTCACCGCCGGCAACGCTCGCTCACCGCCGGCAACGCTCGCTCACCAAGGGCGACGCTCGCTCACCAAGGGCGACGCTCGCTCACCAAGGGCAACGCTCGCTCACCAACGGCAACGCTCGCTCACCAAGGGCAACGCTCGCTCACCAACGGCAACGCTCGCTCACCAACGGCGACGCTCGTCCACCAACGGCGACGCTCGCTCACCGCCGGCAACGCTCGCTCACCAAGGGCAACACTCGCTCACCAAGGGCAACGCTCGCTCACCGCCGGCAACGCTCGCCAGAGGTCGCAACCGGGTACCCGATACCCGTACCCTACCCGATACCCGGCTACCCGTATCTGGCCGGGCACGGGTACCCGTTTGCGACCCTGGTGCGGCCGAGTACGGGTAGGCCGTGATTCAATGGTGAGTAACCGTTTGTCACTCATTTCGGGTAGGGTACGGGTAGCGTACGGGTACCCGTACCCGGCCGGGTACGGGTACCCGTTTGCGACCCTGGTGCGGCCGGGTACGGATAAGGAATCAAAACCCGTTTGCGACCTCTGACGCTCGCCCACCAACGGCAACGCTCGGTGACGCGAGCACACTCACTCTGCGGGTGGTTAACGAAGGTGGTGACCCAGAAGTTTGGGATCTTTCCGATGAGCTCGGAGCGCTTCTGGAAGAAGGGCTGGCGCAGCTGGTTGTACTTCTGCTCCACCTTCAGGATTTCCTCGCTCGCCTGCTCGTTCAGCCTGGGGTGGGGCCGTAGGGAAAGACCGCGCGGACACACGTGAGCCTCGCTCAATCCCCCCATCTTACCTCACACGTTACTTAGTTCGGCGTTAAACCCGTGCGCTACCGCTGTGGGGCGCGGCGGATCAGCAGTTAGCGCCGCGCTACGAACCCGGCGTCCCGAGTTTGATTCCCGCTCACGGCCTACACCCAGTGACGATTATCTGAAGCGGTCATGGGTCCCCCCTAGGTCGACTCGGCCTCAAATGAGTACCTGGTGCAGTGTGCAAACATCGCCACTGGGGAGACAAAGGCGGCCGGGCGTGGTGCTGGCCGCCCACCCCCTTGGCGTGCCGTGCCGGCCTTCATAGGTGCTCGCTAACAGCAATTGCCCCAAGTCTGTTAAAGGCTACATGGAGGATCTTTGTCTTTGGTAGAGAGTTAAAACTTCACTACGTACATTTACAATTGGAACCGGGTGTGATGTTCTTGCCGTGTAATTACAACAACAAGCAGCAGCAGCAGACTCATCCAGGCGACAAACAAGGCCCCAGAGAAGGCTGTCCCCCCCTTCTGGTGAAGGCCAATCGGTTTTCGAAGCGACAATCTCATAGGTCATTATCAAAGCATCTTTGCATTTCGATTTAAAGTTTTCGTGACTGCAGGGATTCATCTTCTTGGTTCTTTCGGTAAAGTCACGTAGAAGGGAAGTAATAAAATAATAAAAATAAAACATAATAAAATAATTCTCACGACGTTTCGGCCACAACGCAAGCAGCCGTCCTCAGGTGAAGAACAGGTCTGTCGAGACTTTACCGAAAGATCCAAGAAGATGCATCTTTGCATTCATACTCATTGGTTCTTTCGGTAAAGTCACGTGGGCAGAAAATAAAATGAATCGCGACGTTTCGATTGCAACACAAGCAATCATCATCAGGTGGGAAAACCACAGAAATAATTTTTATTTTTTGGCTCAAGTGGGAGAGAGATGCCGTGGTAAGAGGTTAAATAAGTAAGAAAGGGGGGAGGAGAGGGGGGGGTAGGGTAGCGTCGCGTTGATGCTAGGAGAGGGGGGCATTGGGCAGGGCTGGAAATGGGAGGCTGAGAGAGCTGTGGATGCAGGGGGGGGGAAGTTTGCATTGTCCTTGTCCTGTTCGCCGTATTGCGTCGTTCACTGGTCTAATACTGGTGAGACGAGGCCAATCAGTTCCAAAGAGAAAATGCATCGGGTGGTAGCGTGTTTAACGACGCATTTATACTCGCACACGATCTAACCCAAAAACGTAGATTAGTATGTGCAGTTTATTTTTCGATTTAAAGCTTTCATGACTGCAGGGATTCATCTTCTTGGTTCTTTTGGTAAAGTCATGTAGAATGGAAATAATAAAAAAATAAAAATAAAACATAATAAAATACAATTCTCACGACGTTTCGGCCACAACGCAAGCAGCCGTCCTCAGGTGAAGAACATGTCTGTCGGTGAGACAGCGTCTGAATGAAACACCACCAGGCTTGGCAGCGTATATTTAAGCTGGGTTGGAAGGACGGCTGCTTGCGTTTTGGCCGAAACGTCGTGAGAATTGTATTTTATTATGTTTTATTTTTATTATTTTATTATTTCCCTTCTACGTGACTTTACCGAAAGAACCAAGAAGACATGTGCAGTTTGTTGTTGTGTAACGTTGTAAATCTTGTGGGTTTACTCTGCAACACACAACCCGTTACTGCTGTGCTAGCAACGAACTAGCATGTTTTGTTCACGTGAGAAAGCTTACCAATTGGCCGTGTCGGGTGGTGGCGGGTTTAATGACACATTTATACTTACACGATCTAACCCAAAACCCCCCCCCCCCTACTTTATTACGAATAATATCGGTCGCGAAAAGCCTACGGATCTATGGGATCTTATATATATTCTATGGGTCTTTCGGTAAGGCCACGTAGATAGAAAATTTATAGAAATATCACGTTTTGATCGCAACACAAGCAATCGTCTATCGCCCCAAGACGATTGCTTGTGTTGCGATCGAAACGTCGTGATGTTTTTTTTTATCTACATGGCTTTACCGAAAGACCCATAGAATATGTATTCCTGCAGTCACGAAAGCTTTAAGTCAACATTCATGGGATCTTATCACTGCCAGTATAGAAAATGATGAAAAATAAAAAGAGAATTTGGGAACCCTTTCTGGCAATAACACGGCAGTTGTAGATATCGGTAATGCAAAGAATCAAGTGCTACATTAACCACACACACAAAACACGCTCTGATAATAATAATGAATGCACTGTCCTTGAAACTGATTGGCCTACAACAGAGACAGCTTTCTTCATGGCCACGTCTCACCACCGGTGTTACAGAACAGAGAACGCCAAAAGTCAAACGGTACAAAGACAACGCAAGTAGTGGCGCATTTAGAGCTCGGGTCGGGGAGTTATATCTTTCGGAGCCTCCGTTCACCTTTTGGCGATCATTCTCTCTGGTCTAACGCTGCTGTTATTGTCGCCGAGTCAACTACAACTCAAGTGAAGAAACACTGAACTACACCCACTGTCTCTCTCAAGGCCTCTCTCGTCACAGCGAGCGCACACCTCCCTGCATTGCAGAGGTCGCAACCGGGTACCCGATACCCGTACCCTACCCGATACCCGGCTGGGTGCAGCTAGCCGTTTGCGACCCTGGTGCGGCCGGGTACGGGTAGGCCGTGAGTCACTGGTGGGTCACCGTTTGTAATTAATTTCGGGTAGGGTACGGGTAGGGGAACGGGTACCTGTACCCGGCCGGGTACGGCTAGCCGTTTGCGACTCTGGTGCTGCCGGGTACGGGTAGGCCGTGAGTCACTGGTGAGTCACCATTTGTCATTCATTTCGGGTAGGGTATGGGTAGGGGAACGGGTACCCATACCCGGCCGGGTACGGGTACCCATTTGCGACCCTGGTGCGGCCGGGTACGGGTATTGCATTGGCATTTAGCCCGTGGACGTCACACGGCCGTACGCAAGGGCACACGGGCCACTTAAAAACATCGAGGTTTGGGGGCATTTAAAATGAAAGAGCTCAGATTTTGAGATCTCTCTCTTCCTGTCGTTTGTGTCCTAAAATCTACCTGGGTACCAAATGTCATCTTTCTACCTTGTCGGGAAGTACCCTTGAGGTGTTTGAGATGTACAGATGATGGTCTTTATTTATATAGATTACATTTTGTGGTTCACATATAATAATGTGTTGGTGTACGGTGCTTTTTCTGTAATATTTTGCTGTCTTTTCTTGGATTTTCTGTTTGCACTCAGTCACTTTAAGATGTTTTCTTGTTCATGTTTTAGTTTTTTTGTTTGTTGCGGTTGCACCCGATTCAAGAGCCGAATGGCTCACATGGCTATACCTAATAAATGAAACTTGAAAACTTGAAACTTGAAGATACTCGCCATCACTGGTGTTGTGGTGGCCGCAGAGCGGGAACCAACTCAGATCATGGCCGGGTTCATAGCGCGGTGGGTGCGAACGGCTCCACAACTACCGCCTCCCCCCCCCCCACAAGCATGCACACGTACACAGACGACGCGCGTACACACGTACGTACGCGCACGGACAAACGTACACCCACGTACACCCCCAAGCACTCCCACGCACTAACACTCAGACCACTCACGCACGCGCGCACTCTCACACGCACATGTAAACCAACTTTATCATTGGCCACTCATCAACCTTGGGGAGACCCGAGACCAGAGGGGGAGGAAGAGGTTCCGCCTCTTCTTTACAGAGGACCACCCCCACCCTCCCACCTCGCACGGGGGGAGGGTGGGGGTGGGGACCCCCCACCCAGGAGCCCCCCGCAAACTCCGACTCACCTGTCGATCTCGTTTTGCACCTCGTCTATCTGCTCGATGGCTTCCTGCTGCTCCTTCTCTGCTCACGTGAACACGCACGGCCAGACGGGGAGGGAGGGGAGAGGCAAGAGACCATTAACAAACAAACTTTTAACTATTTTGTATTTTACCATGGGTTGACCTGCTGTGCCAGGCTAGGTGCAGGAGATCAAGGGACAGACCCAGCAGGTGCCATGGGTTGACTGCTGTGCCAGGCTAGGTGCAGGAGGAGGTCACGGGACAGACCCAGGTGCCAAAGGGTTGCCTACTGTGCCAGGCTAGGTGCAGGAGGAGATCAATGGACAGACCCAGCAGGTGCCATGGGTTGACCGCTGTGGCAGGCTAGGTGCAGGAGGAGGTCACGGGACAGACCCAGCAGGTGCCATGGGTTTACTGCTGTGCCAGGCTAGGTGCAGGAGATCAAGGGACAGACCCAGCAGGTGCCATGGGTTGACTGCTGTGCCAGGCTAGATGCAGGAGGAGATCAATGGACAGACCCAGCAGGTGCCATGGGTTGACTGCTGTGGCAGGCTAGGTGCAGGAGGAGATCACGGGAGAGACCCAGCAGGTGCCATGGGTTGACTGCTGTGCCAGGCTATGTGCAGGAAGAGGTCACTGGACAGACCCTGCAGGTGCCATGGGTTGACTGCTGTGCCAGGCTAGATGCAGGAGGAGGTCACAGGACAGACCCAGGTGCCAAAGGGTTGCCTACTGTGCCAGGCTAGGTGCAGGAGGAGATCAATGGACAGACCCAGCAGGTGCCATGGGTTGACTGCTGTGGCAGGCTAGGTGCAGGAGGAGATCAAGGGAGAGACCCAGCAGGTGCCATGGGTTGACTGCTGTGCCAGGCTATGTGCAGGAAGAGGTCACTGGACAGACCCTGCAGGTGCCATGGGTTGACTGCTGTGCCAGGCTAGGTGCAGGAGGAGGTCACGGGACAGACCATGCAGGTGCCATGGGTTGACTGCTGTGCCAGGCTAGGTGCAGGAGGAGGTCACGGGACAGACCCTGCAGGTGCCATGGGTTGACTGCTGTGCCAGGCTAGGTGCAGGAGGTGGTCACGGGACAGACCCTGCAGGTGCCATGGGTTGACTGCTGTGCCAGGCTAGATGCAGGAGGAGGTCACGGGACAGACCCAGGTGCCAAAGGGTTGCCTACTGTGCCAGGCTAGGTGCAGGAGGAGGTCACGGGACAGACCCAGCAGGTGCCATGGGTTGACTGCTGTGCCAGGCTAGATGCAGGAGGAGGTCACGGGATAGACCCAGCAGGTACAATGGGTTGACTGCTGTGCCAGGCTAGGTGCAGGAGGAGGTCACGGGACAGACCCAGGTGCCAAAGGGTTGACTACTGTGCCAGGCTAGATGCAGGAAGATCACCGGTGTGCTCTACAGTTAGTTTTGACTTTTAACTCCTGTAAGTTATCCTTGAAGCTAAAATAAAAATGTTTACCAGGTGATAAGGCCCCACTGAGCTATGTAGAGCTCAGTGGTAGCCAGCTCAACGAAAGTGGATTATCATCATCATCACCATCACGTGGAAATGTATAGCAGTCAAATACTCTGAACGCACATGAGATTTCTAAATGTGGAGGGAAAAACCGGAGGACCCGGAGAAAAATCCACGTGACCATGGGGAGGGAGGGAGGGAGACACGCAAACTCCAAATATACGACGGGCATCGTCAGGGTCGGGATTGAACTCGCGACCTCCTGCGTACCAGGCGAGGTCGTTAACATCGCCGAGCCACCGAGAGAGAAGGGGGTGGGACAAGAACAAGGGAGAGATGATAGCAAGATGATAGAGAGATGATCGAGAGATGAAAGAGAGATGAGAGTAAGGCAGGGGATATGAGACGGGGAATAAGGGAATGAAGAGGAATGGGGTAGTGGAGTAAAGAAAGGTGAGAGAGGAGAGAGTAGTGGGAGGGAGATGGGAGAAAGCAAGAGAGGACACTGCAGAGAATCAGAATATTTATTTTTTACAGGAGAAATCCGATGATGTCCAGTAGAGGGGCGTGGGCACGAGGTAAGAACGTTTCTACAGACAAAACAAAAACCTCGATAGGAATGCAAAGTATAGAAAAGGTAAAATAAAACGCAACTGTTTATTTTAATATCAGGTAGGTCAAAGCCCGCCGAGCTACAAGCTACTTTTTAAATCCTTTATATTAAGTTCGCTTGCTTGCTTGCGCACTTACGACCGTGCAAATCTTTCGGTCGTTTTTTAACCCACTTTCCGTGATCCAATCGAGCTGACATTTTGCACAGACTCGTTGTGCGTGACAATGAATTTTCGTGAAAAAAATTTCCTAAATTTGACACTTTTTAGGATTTTTTTTTATATTTAATTACCAATTGCTTAATGGTGGCAGGCAATCATCTGACCCATAGGTGGCAGCCATCTCAAGCCAGAGGACGAGAGGACTCTAGCCGCCACGCATATAAAGGATTTATAGTGAAAAACTTTGTTTTTACGGGTTAATTTTTTAGAAGTGACTCAACCCTCACAAATGAGAGCACAACAAAGTGGCTCATCATCACCACGTGGACGTTAATCGCAGACAAATACTCTAAAAAGCATTCAGACGCCGTCTTTCCGACAGACCTGTTCTTCACCTGAGGACGGCTGCTTGCGTTGTGGCCGAAACGTCGTGAGAATTATTTTGTTTTATTTTTATTATTTTATTTTTTCCCTTCTACGTGACTTTACCGAAAGAACCAAGAAGATCTAAAAAGCATGTTACTAAATGCGGAGGGGCGAAAACCCGGACCACCCGGAGAAAAATCCACTCAACCACGGGGAGAACTTGCAAACTCCAAATATACAGCAGCAGCAGGCATTGTTGTCAGGGTCGGGATCGAACCCACAAACCTCCTGCATTCCAGGCGAGGTAGTTAACATCTCCTAGCCACCCGTGGTGCCCCGAGGATGTGGAGGGGAGATACGGGGAGAGAAAGTGAGAGTGGAGGCGGGGGGGGGTTAAGAGAGGGCAGAAAAAGTTTTGTGCGAGATCCATCAATCAATCAGAGATGTAAAGGAAGGAGTGGGAGGATGGGGAGAGGAGTTGGAGAGATTCATCGATGTAGAGAGCCAGACCAGAGGTCGCAACCGGGTACCCGATACCCGTACCCTACCCGATACCCGGCTACCCGTACCCGGCCAGGTACGGGTAGCCGTTTGCGACCCTGGTGCGGCCGGGTACGGGTAGGCCGTGAGTCACTGGTGAGTCACCGTTTGTCACTCATTTCGGGTAGAGTACGGGTAGGGAACGGGTACCCGTACCCGGCTGGGCACGGGTACCCATTTGCGACCCTGGTGCGGCCGGGTACGGGTAAGGAATCAAAACCCGTTTGCGACCTCTGAGCCAGACCAAGGAAGAGAGACAGGCGGAAGACACATCGAGACGGGATGCATGTACAGTACCGTAGCCATGGAGTCAATATTGGGGGGGGGGGGGGGGGTTCCCCCCCCAGAAAAAAAACAAATCTAAATATGAAAACGAATTTCCTGCCTAAAATATTTATTTTATAGCAAAATATTGGGGGGGGGGGGCATTTTGAGCATATTTGAATATTGGGGGGCCTTGGTACACGTGAACTTCTTCCGTACCGTACGTAGCCAACCGCGCTGATCGTAGATGCGGTGGGCAGGACAACACGCTAACACGCAACAACAAAAACAAGCCGTTCGTAAGAAATGAGTTTTCAAGTTAGTATCGTGGTGTAGTAGTATATATAGTGGCGTGTATCGTGGTGTACAGTGTAGAGTGTGGAAGTGTAAAGTGTAGTATGAATGAACTTCTTTCGTACCGTACGTAGCCGTCCGCGCTAAACGGAGGTGCGGGTGTAAGGACAATAAACTAACACAGACAGCAGTTCTAAAGAAATTCGTTTTCACTATGCGAGTCTGTGGGTCTCTATGTGTGTATTTATGCATATGGGGAGCGGTAGTGTCGCGGTTAGCGCTACGCTGCGCTATGAACCTGGCGACCCGGGTTCGATTCCCGCTCACGGCCAACACCAGTGACGATTATCTCAACCGGTCCTGGGCCTCCCCTAGGTCGACTCAACCTGAAATGAGTACGTGGTGCGGTGTGTAAACATCACCACTGGGGAGACAAAGTCCGGGCGTGGTGCTGGCCACCCACCCCCCTCGTGTACCGTTCCGGCCTTCATAGGTGCTCGCTAACAGCCCTTGCCCCTACAGTCTGTTAAGGCTACACGGGGGATCTTCATGTATGCATTAACTTCTTTCGCACTGTACGTAGCCAACCACGTTCACCCTGGACACTCACTGTTTGAGCTGTTGCCATCAGGCAGACGATTCAGATCAGTCAAAACAAGGACAAACAGATTCAAACAGAGCTTTTATCCTACAGCGATCACCACACTCAATAATGCTAATTAATTAATAATAGTGTTTACAATTGATTGTGAAATAGAGATGTGCAACGACAAAATGTAACCTTATGTGGGTATGTGGGTATACTTGGGCTGTTTTTATATATAGTATAAATTGATTATCTTTCATTTAATTTTATTTTTATTTTCTTGTTTTATTTAATTTAAATTTATGAATGATGCCCTGACTGGTGAGCATTTTAAATTTCGTTGTACTGGTGACAATGACAATAAACGATCTATCTATCTATCTTAAGGGCACAACAGCAAGCACTTCTAAATAAATTAGTAGTGTATTGTAGTGCCGTGTGTAGTAGTGTAATGTATTGTCGTGTGTAGTAGTGTATTGTAGTGTCGTGTGTGTAGTCGTGTAGTGTGTAGCGTATGGTGTAAGCGTGTAGTAGTGTGTATATTAGTGTATAGTCGTGTATGTGTCTTCTTGGTTCTTTCGGTAAAGTCACGAAGAATGGAAATAATAAAATAAACCATAATTTGTATTATTTTATTATTTCCCTTCTACGTTACTTTACCGAAAGAACCAAGCAGATGAATCCCTGCAGTCACGAAAGCTTTAAATCGAAATGTAGTGGATGTGCGTTGAACTTCTTTCGCGCCGTACGTAGCCGACCGTGCTAACCGGAGGTGCGGGGGGAGGTAATGATAGCGAACAAGGCGGGGGAGAAAGGGGGGGGGGGGAAACGGGAGAACGAGTGAAGAGACAGCGAGCGAGTTGAGAGAGCAGGAAACAGAGGTGAGTGAGAGAGCGATGAAAGAGAGAGATACGAGAGTTAAGAGAGAGTTAAGAGAGAGTTAAGGGAGAGTTAAGAGAGAGTGAGAGAGTTGAGAGAGAGTTAAGGGAGAGTTAAGAGAGAGCGAGACGAGAGTTGAGAGAGTTAAGAGTAGGTTAAGGGAGAGTTAAGAGAGAGTTAAGAGAGAGTTAAGAGAGAGTTAAGAGAGAGTTAAGAGAGAGTTAAGAGAGAGTTAAGAGAGAGTTAAGAGAGAGTTAAGAGAGAGTTAAGAGAGAGTTAAGAGAGAGTTAAGAGAGAGTTAAGGGAGAGTTAAGGGAGAGTTAAGGGAGAGTTAAGAGAGAGTTAAGGGAGAGTTAAGGGAGAGTTAAGGGAGAGTTAAGGGAGAGTTAAGGGAGAGTTAAGGGAGAGTTGAGAGAGAGCGAGACGAGAGACAATGAGCGTCACGCGGAAGCGCTGTGTCTGGCCACGTGGGGGCTTCACAGCCACACGTGGAAAGCCGCGGCCTCCTCATCCTCACCACTGTATATACTTCCTCTCTCTCTCTCCATCATTCTCACCACTCTACCCCCCCCCTCTCTCTCTCCTCACCACTCTACCCTCCCTCTCTCTCCTCACCACTCTACCTCTCTCTCTCCTCACTCATCCTCACCACTCTACCCCATCTCTCTCTCCTCACTCATCCTCACCACTCACTCTCTCCTCACTCATCCTCACCACTCTACCTCCCCTCTCCATCCTCACCACTCTACCCCTCGCTCTCTCCTCACCACTCTACCCCTATCTCTCTCTCCTCACTCATCCTCACCACTCCACCCCCTCTCTCTCCTCACTCATCGTCACCACTCTACCCCTCTCCTCACCACTCTACCCCCTCTCTCTCCTCACCACTCTACCCCTCTCCTCACCACTCTACCCCCTCTCTCTCCTCACTCATCCTCACCACTCTACCCCTCTCCTCACCACTCTACCCCTCTCTCCTCACTCATCCTCACCACTCTACCCCCATCTCTCTCTCTCTCCTCACTCACCCTCACCACTCTACCCCCCTCTCTCTCTCCTCACTCATCCCCCCTCCCCGCTGCCGCCATCCTCCACGCGGCCATCACGCCCCCCCCCCTCGGCAAGAGGCACGGGGGGGGGGGCCCGGTAGCCCCCCCTCCATGGGTCTGCCCCCCCTCCCCCCCGGGCTCACGGACCAGGGGACCGGACCGGCGCTCAGTAACTCTACACGACCGTCAACAGTGGGGGGCACATCCTGGTGGGGGGGGGGCACATCCCCCCCCCCGTCACGATTCGTCACTCGAACCGCATGCCCTCCCCACCCCCTCCACTACAGCACGTGTTCTGTTACACTGTATCAGCGGTGGAGATTGAACCTCTTTCGCACCGCACGCACGCAGCCGACCGTGCTCATCAAAGGATTCCCGATACAGTGTACGCGGGGGGAGAGGGGGGGTAAAGTAGTGGTGGGGGGAGGGTAAGGTGGTGGTGGGGGGGTGGGTAAGGTGGTGGTGGGTGTGGGAGGGTAACGTGGTAGTGGGGGGGAGGGCAACGTGGTAGTGGTGGGGGGAGGGTAACGTGGTGGTGGGAGGGTAACGTGGTGGTGGTGGGGGGAGGGCAAAGTGGTGGTGGTAGGGGGAGGGTAACGTGGTGGTGGGGGGGAGGGTAACGTGGTAGTGGTGGGGGGAGGATAACGTAGTAGTGGTGGGAAGAGGGTAACGTGGTAGTGGTGGGGGGAGGGTAACGTGGTAGTGGGGGGGGAAAGGTAACGTGGTAGTGGGGGGGGGGAGGGTAACGTGGTAGTGGGGGGAGGGAGGGTAACGCAGTGGTGGGGGGGAGGCCGCGACCGATCTTGCCGCTCATTCATTCTGCCCACAAGAGAAAACCACGTGCGGCCTAGCAGGCCACAATGGCCGCACGCCGC